CTCTCCAGCGTGCAGAGCTGCTTGCGCTGGAAGGGACTCCTTGACGTTGGTAATGGGGATCATGAGTCACGAATTAGCTGCACGCCACCTCTCCGCCCCGAGTGGAGTCGTGTTTGGGGAGGGAGATGCACCCAGAGGAAGAGTGACATCCTGATTGGGACGGAGCCAGACCTGCCGCAGTGACTGGGGGCCCGCGAGCCTCGTTAAGGCTGGTGCCTCGTGTGTCATCACTAGTTTGTTTGCTGTAAATAGATGAGAATCTGAAATGAGTAAAATGAGGAGGACGGGAAGCACGTGGTTAAACAGTGGGCCAGCTGAGCAGGGAAATGCCAGCGCCCTGGCCGGTTCCAGGGGCTGCATCCAGGGTGCCCCAGGCCTGCCTGACTCTCACAGTCGCCACCCCCAGCTGAGTGGGGGTCGATGGAGTGCCATCCTCGTGCCCCGTGAGGGCTGGGCGCCCAGAGGGCCGCGGTCCACTGCAGTGGGCGGCTCTCTGACGTGTGTGCGGGGCACCGGGTGCCTGGGGCGCTGTTCTGAACACTGGGGAAGAGGCAGGTGTGCCCTGTTTAAGCAAAACCCGACGTCAGAAACAAGGTTTCTCAGAGGTGAGAGATTCCTCTAGAAGGCCTTTTCAACAGTGGGACTCCTTTAAAATGTCTTCATCATAACTGTGCCCTTCCAAATGTTACCTGGGTTAGAAAACTTTATTTTTTTTATGCGATTAAAACCCCCCTTCTTTAGCCTTTTACGTTAGCTGTATAACTTGGGGCAAAGTTACTTAACCCCTGTGGGCCTCAGTTACCTCGTCTGTGAAAGGGGCATCACAGTGTAGCACGAACACACGAGGTGGTGCGTACAGGAGAGCGTGTGGCAGTGGCCGGCACGCAGCCCCGCGCAGTGGCCAGTGCTTACCAGTGCCCCGGGGAGAGCAAACAGCGTGGAGCAAGGCCTTGGCTGTCTGAGAGATGAACCCTCACAGGGATGCCCGCGGCTCTGAGCCCACTCCTCGCCTTCCCACGGCCCAGGCTCCTTCTCTGTGTTGAGAAAGTTGGGCTGCCCTCTGGCACACCTAAAACTGTGTTTCAGATCAGGCTTTCCTTGAGAGGTCATTACAAATGCAGAGTCTGACCTCCCATTCTCAGACATCCTGATCCCACAGCTCCTTGGAGCCCAGGAATCGGTGTTTTTGAAGAGCAGCACCTGAGGGTCCCCTTTCCCCAGCCAGGTGACCAGAGCAGATGGTGTGAGGGCACACAGGGGAAACGCCTGGCTGGCTCTAGGTTACTGGCGGCCGACCTGCTCGCTGCGGAGCCCCTGAAGCCCAGGGTTCTGTCGCCGGGCATTTCCGGGGGAAAGCTGTAAATGAGGCAACCAACCCAGGAGTCCACTCTGAGCATCTCCCCAGAGTGCGTGGGGCTTCCGCCCTCCTACTGATACTCGTTTCCTGGGCTTCCATTGCCTAGGGCCTTCTGTCTCCACAACTGGCCAAGCCCTATGGCTACAACAGGAATCCCAGCTTCCTTGCTGCCCAGACCGGGCACCAGGCTGCCTGCAGTGCCAACAGGTATAAGATGACAGGGTTTTTGAAGTTGGGTTGGAATACATTTATTTACTCAGGAGCTGGGTAAATCTTTACTGTTGGGTATGCTGCTGAAGCGTGTGTGGCTGGGCCCGCAGGGCCTGGGCACGGAGGGCTCTGATGGAAACAAAGACCCCCGGAGAGTGAGAGAGAGGACAGGTTCTGGGCGAGGCGGGCTGGTCCAGCACAGCCTGCCCTCCAGCAATGCCATCACCCCCCCGAAGGGTGTGCTTGGGATGTAATGGCTCTAGCTACAGATTCTATTAACTCTAATAGTTGTTCTGCGGTGAATGGATAACACATTTAGCAGAAATAGACCCAATCAATTTATATGAAACACATAAAACTTCCTCATTGGAATTGGCATCTGTTCTTGAACCACACGAGCGTTACGTGGGAATGGACAGCCTGTCACTCTTCCTCCTGGGCGCATTAGCAGTGCCACAGGTTAATTAGGGAGCTGGGCCACACCCCTTCACCCCCAGGCCCAGGGAGCTGGGGGCAGGGAGGGACTGGAGACCGTCTGCTTTAAACCCCGACTTTTGAAAATACCAGTTTCCACCATTGTCTGTGTTTCCGTGAGCCCCTCTTACACGAGCTCTGTGAACTGCGTGTGGGATGACGTGTCCAGGCATCAGACGCGGGGAGGGAGGGCGTGCAGAGGTGGGACCACCCAGGGTCAGAGCTTGCTGGGGCAGGCCAGCCAGGGCCATGCCCAGGGGCTCTGACTCCTGGTCCAGTGCTCTTTTCATGACCCTACACGTTTTTAATGACCACTTCCCCTGCCCACACGGCCCATTTGGCAAGAGATGTGTACTCGGACAATGGTAAACCAACTCTCATCAGCCGCCTCGGGGTCCAGACTGTGGTGTGATGCTAGGACTCCATGGGTCAGAGTTTCCTGCGGGCTGGGCCCAGGGTTTAGGCTGGTCCTCAATGGGACTGAACTGATTCCTTTCCACTCTCCCTATACAGCCTGTGAGCTGGTAGGAGAAGAAGAGAGGGGTCAGGAAGCTGAGGCGGGGTCACCAGCCCTTGGGGGTCCTGCCTGTCGTGACCTGGGCGTTTAGAGAGAGGCAGGATGGCGGAGCCTGTTCACGTCTCCTCACCCCTAATGTTCATTAGAGAGAGAGGGCAGGGGGTGGGGAGAGGAGAGCGCGCTAGCTCTGGAGCTCTGTGATTGCATTATCCCAGCCATTTGGTTAGTGTAATTGTATGTGCAAAGCTGACAAATGTAATTTTCTCAGACTTAATACTTGCCCCATTTTCTCTCTCAGTTTCTTTCTGATTAGCTAAAGTGACTCAGGCTTCCGGGAACACTTGGGGAGGCACCTGGCCGGGCCGTCCCCTGCCCGGCTGCTCAGCTCTGCCCTGGGGGCTGGGGGTGAGCGACCCAGGTGTCCCAGGTGTCGGGCTCTCCTGGGATTGTGGGAGCGGGGAGGACTGGCTTGGAAGAAGTGAGGAGTGTTCAGGGAAACTTGGAAGCTTCCCGAGTGACTGTCTCCCGAAACCGCCTTCGCCTTTCCAGGAGCTGCTCCAGCTCCTGCCAAGAGGAGAGCGGAAATGCCACCAGCCACCCGCGTTCCAGCCCAGCAGGAACGGACGGTGCTGAACTTTGGGAAGAAAATCTTATTAGCTCGTCTCCTCTGACAATTGATTTGTTAACTGGTCGGGCAGGGGCTCTCGGCTGGGACGCGCTACCTGCTCTTTTCCTTTTTTGCTGATGATCTCTGATCGGAGACCTGGATACTCAGAAGAAGCTCGGCTGGCTGAAACAATGTGGACTTCAGGGCCACAGGCTGGTGCCCTTCCTTACCAGCTGTGGGCACCTGCATTCTTCTCCATCACCTTCCTCATCCCTACAGTGCTAACAGCAGCAGCTGCCCCTGGGCCACAGTGAGGACGGGAGGGGCTGACGTGGGGAACACCCTTGCCCTGGGCCAGGCAGGCTCACCAATTACTCCTCCCCTTTCCTTTCCCCCCTGGGCCCCAGCCCTCCCGGCCTCTCCAGGGGGGCTCCCGGGGAGGAGCACTGAGTTTGGCTTCAGCTTCAAGCTGCAGGCTGTGATCTGCAGGGTCCCAGGCCACCCGGCTCCCCTGGGCTGCAAGCTCCAGAACAGTGAGTGTGGGCCCGCCTTGTCCCCGGTGTGCTCGGCCGTGGGCGGTGCCACCACAGCAGTGTTTCCCCTGGTGATTAGTTCTGAGTGGGCGTGGCCCTGACCTCGGCCTCCCGGGGAGCCTGCTGGACCCCTCCTCCTCCAGGACCCCTCCTCTCCCTGCACTTCTCTCCTGTAGGCACGTAGCTTGGCCTCAATCATTTGTCTACCTGTACTCTCCTCGTCTGGTCTGTGAGTCCTTCGAACTCTTGACCTGGATCTTATTCTGCTCAGCACGGCTGAGTGCTGGACTGCCCTCACAGGAAGTGTGCAAGAACTGTGGGTGGGTCTAGATTAAAGCTGGTGAGAGTGAACCTCAGCCCTCCCTGACCGTGAGGCTGAGTCCTGGCCAAGAGCTGATTCAGAGGGCCCGGTGGACTTTGTCTCGTGGGTGGTGGAGAAAGGAGGAACTGCTCCCTTCTTCCCCACAAATCCTCCCGATGCAGACAGGGGCACCCCCACCCCCCACTGCCAGGGTCTTCAGCAAGGTGGGACTGGGAGATCTGTCCGGTGGTGGGGAGAGATGCCTCCTGCTACTGAAACACAGCAGGGGACGAGGGGTTGGGAGCCTGCCTCAGCTTCTCCCTCAGCTGAGCTGCTCCTCGAGGTGGCAGTGGGTCCCGGGAAAACACTGGCTCTTTATTTGGTTCTCTAAAGGCTTCCTGAGGAGCCTGCTAAGGCCCAGTGTCCTCTCCCCTTGGAGGTGGAGTTGCCCCAGAAGGGGGCCTGAAGACAGAGTGCCGGCCCAAGGCCGTCCGCCCACCACTCCTGCTCCAAGGCTGGGGCCACACAGCAGAGGCAGGTGTACTCCAGCCGTCGTCATCCCCAGCCTCTCAGGCAGCCACTCGCTTCTCATTTGATCTGCAGGTGGTAGGGGCGCACCACCGCTTTTGAGTCGCTGCATGATTTCATTAGTCTGAGTGGCCATTGGGCAGGCCCTCATCGATCAGCCTTTTAGGACAGCGGGAGCCGTACGGCAACAAACCCGAGAGTCAGGCAGGGTGGATGGCTAGGTCCTAAATGCTGGCTGCAGGGGGGCCAGCGGCCGACACTGGAGAACTGAGCTCAAGCATTAAGTGCCTACCAGTCAGTCAATAAGTGTATCTGGAACCCCTGCTATGTAATCAGTGCTGGTGGTGAGGAGGGGCGGCAGCTTGCCGTGATGTTTGCTTAGCATGTCCTGAACTTATCGCAGGAGGCAGTGGTTGACAGAGGGCCAGGAAGTAATGGAGGCAGCTCGGTGGGGTGGGGTGGTGGGGAAGGAAGGCTGCTGAAGGGTTAACAGTGGGCTGCCTGCCCCGTGTGCGACGTGTCCAGGAACCGTGAACCACGAGGCAGGGTCGGGAAACAGAGGTCGGCGTTCAGGAGGCCAAGTTCCCCTTCGTGTGGAAACACGAAAAGGTATTTTGAGGTCCTAGTGAAAGGTGAAGGGAGGAGAGGGGAGAGGCGGAGGGAAAGGCCACGCACTCCTCCCCCCTGGTTAGGCGGCTGTGAGATCAGGCCGGAGTCAGGACAGCACAGTTAGTCCTGGCGCAGCTTTTGGAGGACAGAGAGGGAAGGGTGTCTTCCAATGCAGACAGAAGCTAATGTTTACTCAGTGCACAGAGAGCCAATGAGTTGGGTGCAAAGGTATAAACGTCTACTTTTTGTTGGTATTTTGCATTAAGTGAGGATTTCACATTTATACATAGAAATCGGAGATTTATCATTTCTCTATTGTTATTTTAGTAAAGAATCCTCTTTCATAGGGAAAAGTGTGGGTGAAGCGTGCGTTGCACACCTGCTTCTTCAGGTCACTCCCGTTGGAAGAAGCCTCAGATTCCCAGGACAACCCTCCACTAGGCGGAGCCCCTTGTCTGCTGGTGTTGGGCCCAGCAGCCTTCATCAGCTTCTCCAGGGCTAGGCTCAGGAGCTACTAACTGCCGAGGAACGTCAGACCGGGTGTGAGACCTATTCCAGGAGCGTTCCTCCTGGAACAAAGGGTGGCTGAGCAGCCGCACCCCTGCAGAGGGGTGTGCCAGGGGCTGCAGAGGCCTGTGTTTAAAGGGGCAGAGCCCCCACGAGAAGCTCTGCAGCCTGGGGGCTGCTGCGCCAAGCGGCTTTGGAGGGGAGCCAAGCTTGGGGGAAGTGTGTTGAACCTGACGCTTTGGGGCCGTCAGCCATGATGGGCTGGCCTGCCTTTGTGTGACAGATAACCTTGGTCTTGGGCCCAACAGCCCTTATGAGGAGAAAAGTCTGACAGGAGGCTTGCTTTGCTCAGTGATGGGCAGTGGCTCCAGGGACCGGCTTGGGAGGAGACCAGCTTGGTTCTCCTGTGTGTCGGGGCCTGGGTGTCCCCCAGGCACGGAGCAGAGAGGCCCTGTGCACAACTTCCAGGAGCTCCATTTGCGCAGGTCATAAGAGAACCAAACGGCTTCCTCCTGGAGCCCCGGAACCAGAGTACGGGCAACGTTCCTTCTAAAGGCTGGCATTTTACTCTTTAAACTTAGCTCCCCGCCCCAATCAAAACACATACCGTTTTTCTGTCTTTTGAAAAAAAATTGCTGAAATGTGTAAGTTGAACCCTTACCTGTAGGGTCAAAGATGGGGGTCTCTCTTGGTGTGCTTTCCCAGAGTTTCGTCTCCTTGTTCGGGTTTCTCTCAAACAGGTTCCTTGACTTGGGCGCTGTATTCTGCAGCATCTTGTCCTCCCCACTGACTAGAACAGAGAAGACCCCGGTGGCTGAGTTAAGGGGGGCTCTTTAGGGAGAGAGACGGGTATGTTCCGGGGGAAGGCAGGAGGAAGAGAGCTGAGGTGAAGGAGGGACAGTGAGGCCCGGGGTGGTCTGGGCAGGAGAGCGGGGGCCAGGGCCAGGGTGCACTCACTGGTGAGGTAGCAGTCCAGGCTGATGGAGATGTTGTCGAAAGCCACGGTGGCTCTGGATCCTTGTCCCCACCAAGCGACAAACTGCAGCCAGAACCTGTACGTGCGTTGAGAGGAGCATGCGTGAGGAACACCCTTGGTTGTCATGTCTTAGGACTCAGCATGCAGCAAACGAGGCTGAAGCTTGCTCGTGATGAGTTTTCATCAGCCTCGCCCAGCCTCAGAGCGGCTGTCTGAGGGGAGCGGTCAGCACTGCCCCTCCTTCTCCGGCACAAAGCACTGCCCTGCCCGTGGGGTCGTTCCATATGTTAGCCTTATGTGGAGTTGGGGGCTTGGGTCTGGGACTCCTGGAAACTCTGGGGAGACCTTTCGCTTCCTGGGTGTGCAGGGTGGGTGGAAATAGGTGGGCTGGACATTCAGCTGGTACTCCCCAGTGGAGCTGAAGTTATTATTATATACTGAAGTGCTTCTGTACCAGCTGATAAAGAGCCCCTGTCCCTTGAGAGTCTCCGACCTGGGGCTTCAGGCAGCCTGGCTCCTCCCCTGGCACCCCTGGATTTCCCCATCCTCCAGCAAGCAGAAGGCCACTCACTCACACAGCGGTGGGCCAAGTCAAGGACACGGTGTCCAGCATCAGTTCTGACTGGGGTTGGTCTGTGTAGTGCCCAACTGGTCATTACATATTAAATGACCTGACTGTGAGCCGCCGCGGGGAGGGGGCGGTTTATAAACGACACTCAGTGGGCCATACGTATTTATAGTAAACCTCTGAGATCTCACCACTCTCCACCCATTTTACAGCCTCGCAGGGTCAGCCCTGGGACAGTGGAAGGGGAGGTGCCAGGGGTGGGGGGGACAAACAGGAAACACCTCCAGTTCCTTTGTCTCCCAGGGAGTCCTCCCCTGGGAAGGCGGTCAGTCAGTCCACCTGCTGTGGAGGGAGAGTGTCCCGAGGACTCTGGACACCTTTCCCCCTTTCAGGAGTCAGCGCAGAACGACCTGCAGGAGAGGGCGCCGTCTCTGGTGTGGGTGTCAGCCATCAAGAGAGGGAACCTGTGCCTCCCCTGGTGACTGAGTAAACCCCGAGTGGGGTGGCCATGCCATGGAATGCTGCTCCCCGATATAAAAGAATGGACCGGAGCACAGGCTGTAGAATGGTTGGACCTCAACAACATCGCACTAAGTTAGAGAAGCCAGACAGTGAGTTCAAGACCTCATGGTTCCATTCGTACAAATGACTGCGTTGACACGAAGTGTGTGGGAGAGGCAGACCTATAGCACAGAGACAGGGAGCAGACTGGTGGTTGCCCACAGCTGGGCATGGGGCAGTGTTGACTGTAAACCAATAAGCGTCCTTCTTGGGATGACGGAACTAATCTAAAACTGGACTGTGGTGCTCTCTGTACAACTCTGGGCATTTGCTGGAAGTGACTAATGTTTGCACCTAGATCAGGTGAATACCTAGGTATGCAAATTACAGCTCAGTACAGCTGTCAGGAAGAAAGGGGAGAGAGAGAGAGCAGAGTGCCGGCCGCTGGGGTAAACAGCAGGAGCAGAAAACCAAGTGTTGGTGGGAATGGGAGACTGACAGCATGGAGACCGTGGGGCGGAGGCAACGAGGGACACAGACGTTACCGGAGGGAGGAAAGGCCCCGGGGGAAGCAGCACACAGGAGCAAAAACGAGCACTCAGGGTTTGTGCTTTACAGTCGAGGATCGAGCTGCTGGCCGGGCTGGAAGCCCCGCCGCGCCCGTGAGCAGACGGCCTCCGATCGGCGTGCAGACCAGCCGGGCGCTGGCTTGGCTACTCCCAGCCAGAGAGCAAGGACTGCCTCCCGTGGGGAGCGCACTTGAAGCCAAGAGCAAACTTTTGTCTGAATAGTAAGTTCGTGACGGGTTATTCTTAACTGAACTACATAGTAAGCCCATCGGTGCCTTTACCCGACTTGTGAAACCTGGTCCTTCACAACTAATCCTTCTTGTCTGCAAGTGACAATTAGGGGACCCACGTGCGGTTCGGCTCTCAAGAGGGGGTGCCCGAATCTGTCGTACCCACGGCCAAGCTCCCTGGTGCCCTGCCCGCTGCATTCCCCACGTCGGGACCTGCATTCTGCACCCTACCCTCCCCCCCCCCCGCCCCCTCCGCCACGGCCTGGTCAGGAGAGGCCAGCAAGGACGGCTGATGGTTGGCCGGGCACGGATTGGAATAAGCCCAGTGGAAAATGCCCAAATCCTGCTCGGAGCACCCGGGCATGCTGGGTGAGTGCGCACGAGGGAGGGACAGCACAGAGCCCGCCCATCTTATGCAGCCAGCTCGCAGCACGTGCCTCTGGGAGCATCTTTCTTTATGACCTTGATGAGCGCCTAGCAAACAAGTTTTCATTTCAAACGCACCCATCTTGTGCTGGGCCCTTTTGAAGGCCTATGAGGGATTCTAAGACAAATCCAACAGGGACTCTGTGTCCAAGCTGCTTTCTGTCCAGTGGAGAGATGAAAGGCGTCTACATACGTCAGTGCAGAAAAAGGGAGAAGGCAAGTGCCACATGGGTGATGTGTCTGAAATGCTCTGAGACTCAGAGGAAGGGGGAATTGCACCAGGCCGAGGAGACGGGGAGGTGGTTCTGAAACTGGTGCTGAAAAGCGAAAAGGACTCTGAGGTGTGCCCGTGGGGAAGGGGAGCAGGAGGGATCGGCATCTCCCGAGGAAGAACTGGGGTGAGGGGTGTGGCAGAGCAGATGGGCCCCTCCGGCTGGAGTGTGCGGTGTGTGGAAGGGGGTAGAGATGGTGAGAGGCACCTGCGTCTCACATGCCTTCAGTGGGTTTGTCCGAGTCTTGGCAGAGTTACAGCTCCGGTTCCCCAGATCTCCACGGACCAGCTCCTGGCTGAGCCTAGGTGCCCCTGCACACAGCCAGGCCTGGGACTCTCGGGCGGCCAGTGAGGGTCCTACTACTGCTCGCCTGTTCTCTTTACAGCAGCAGCCCGGGTCGGGGAGATGTTGCTCCCAGGCTTCTGGGATGGTGACTGGAGAGAAGCGTGTTCTCTGCGGGTGGAAGCATCAGGAAGGCAGAGCTGCCTGGTGTTCCCACACAGCAGTGGGTAGGGGGCCTGCAGCCCACCTCTCTGAGTCTCCAATGTGTCACCTCCTAATCTGACACCCATAGGCCAGGGGGCCGTGCTGGTCACAGAAATCAGTGCTGAGCTGCATCACGAGGCTACCACTGCTGTGGGCTTGGGGTGCCTGGGCCAGTAACTTATACACAGGGGGAAGGGGACAAAAATACCTGTTTTCCCCTAAATGAGCCTCCCAGAGACACTGTGCATCTCCCCTCCTACCTTCTTTATTATTGAGAGATCAGAGCTGCAAAGTTCTCAAGCAGCCACTGGGACGCTCAGCATGGGCAGCAGGATGCAAGCCGGGGTTGGAAGGGTTTCTGAACAGAAGAGTTCCCGAAGTGCTTTGTGAGGCCCTGGCAGTGGCAGCTGCTGTTTAACAGGGTTTGATTGACACTGGGAATTGCACATATTTTGAGTCTGGAAC